CCAAATTTGCAGATGAGGTCGTGGTGATGGTCAGTGAGAGTCGAAAGGGTCAGTGTGTTGAGCTTCTTGATATGTGGAGTAGGAAGGGGAGAGAATAATCTTGCATGCCCTCTTTTGCACTTTTTCTAGGTGTTTCTGGTTGTGTGTGGCATTTAGGGAGGAAGACCACGTGGGGGAGGCATAGGTGAGCTTGGGAAGTATGAATGTTGTGTAAACACTGAGAAGCTCGGGTGCAGGAACTGCGAGGGACTTGAGTCGGCGGAGGAGGTGGAGACGGAACTGGAGGATTTGACAACTTCACTGACGTGTGGTTTCCAATTTAGTTTGTTGTCTATGGTGACGCCGAGGAACTTCGTGGAATCTACAACCTGGAGTGTGTTCGGACCTAGAGTAATGGAAGGAGGTGGGACAATGTCGGAGGAGAGGTTGATGTGCATAACCATGGTCTTGGTGTGGTTGATGGTGACATGGTTGTTGGTGGCCCAGTTTTGGAGACTGTTCAATAAATCTTGAAGGGCGGTATAGTCGGGAGCAGAATTGTTGACGCTGATCCCAATGGTGGAGTCGTCGACATATTTCCAGCGAGCAGGGGTTTCTCTTAGGGCATCATTGATGAGCATAAGGAAGCAGTGGTCCCATCTTGGTGCCTTGGGGACGCCACAGGTGAGTGACTGAAAGGTGGAACAGCCCTCAGGCGTACAGCTTGGCGTCGGTCACTGAGAAGTCTGTAAGCCATGGTACAAGACTTCTCCGAAGCCCGGGTCAATAGCTTTGTTGATGATTTATTGTGGTCGACTAGGTCGAATGCTTTGGTAGAAATCAATGAAGGCGACAGCTACAGACGTTTTCGTTTCTCGAGATGGCGGTATATGTAATCGAGAAAGCTGACAAGACAGTGAGTGGTGGAGGAAGTTTTCATGTTGCCAAATTGCTGAGGGTCTACGACTCCTGCAATATCAGCATAAGCCCAGTCGAACCCAAAACTTTCACAGATTAGGCTGGGTATTGGGGTGATTGCAATAGGTCGTAGCTGATTTAAGGATTGTGGGCTGGTTGACTTGGGCACTGGTGATACATAAGAGGTCTTCCAGTCAGCTGGGCATCTGGCTTCACTGAGAGAAGCATTGATGATGGAGCATAGGGGTTTAGCAAGCTCCGGGGAGAACTCCTTGAAGAGTTTCATTGGTAAGTCAATGGGGGTGGTAGAGCGTTTTAATTTTAGTTTGTCCAGGCGTTTTGCCACCACCAGATGACTGGGGCTACATCACCACCACCAGATGACACGAGGCTACATCACCACCACTATCAGATGACCACCACCACCACCAGATGACGGAAGCTACATCACCACCACCATCAGATGACTGAGGCTACATCACCATCACCAGATGACACGAGGCTACATCACCACCACTATCAGATGACTACCACCACCACCACCAGGTGACAGGAGGCTACATCACCACCACCACTGGATGACTGAAGCTACATCACCACCATCACCAGATGACTGAGGCTACATCACCACCACCTACACCATCACCACCACCAGATAAACGAGGTACATCACCACCACCACCAGATGACTGAGGTTACATTACCAACACCAGATGACTGAGGCTACATCACCACCACCAGATGACACGAGGCTACATCACCACCACTATCAGATGACCACCACCACCAACAGATGACAGGAGGCTACATCACCACCACCACTGGATGACTGAAGCTACATCACCACCATCACCACACCACCTACACCATCACCACCACCAGATAAACGAGGTACATCACCACCACCACCAGATGTCAGAGGCTACATTACCAACACCAGATGACTGAGGCACATCACCACCACCAGATGACACGAGGCTACATCACCACCACTATCAGATGACCACCACCACCACCAGATGACAGGGGCTACATCACCACCACCACTGGATAACTGAAGCTACATCACCACCATCACCAGAGGACTGAGGCTACATTACCAACACCAGATGACTGAGGCTACATCACCACCACCAACACCAGATGACTGTGGCTACACCACTACCACCAGATGACTGAGGCTACATCACTACCACCAGATGATTGAGGCTACATTCCCACCACCACCAGATGACTGACGTTACATTACCACCACCAACACCAGATGACTGGCTACATTACCACCACCAACACCAGATGACACGAGGCTACATCACCACCACCATCATATGACACGAGGCTACATCTACCACCAGATGACTGAGGCTACATCACCACCACAGATGACAGGGGGCTACATCACCACCACCACCACCGCCACCAGATGACTGAGGCTGTATTACCACCAACAACACCAGATAACTGACGCTACATCACCAACACCACCAGATGACAGGAGGCTATATCACCACCACCAGATGACAGGAGGCTACACCACCACCACCAGATGACAGGAGGCTATATTACCACCAACAACACCAGATGGCTGAGGCTACATTACCACCACCATCACCAGGTGACTGAGGCTACACCACCACCACCAGATGACTGAGGCATCACCACCACCACCACCAGATGACTGAGGCTACGTTACCACCACCGTCACCAGGTGACTGAGGCTACACCACCACATGAATGAGGCATCTCCACCACCACCAGCAGATGACTGTGGCATCACCGAGCTGGAGTTGTGTCTACCGGGATATTTACACTAAAGCATCCATTAACATAACATAACCTTGGTTAGGTTAGGTTCATGGATGCTACAGTGTAATTATTCTGGTGAACACAACTTCAGCTCATAGACCACATACTATAGTAGCACCAGCTCTGTAGACCACATACTATAGTAGCACCAGCTCTGTAGATCACATACTACAGTAGCACCAGCTCTGTAGACCACATACTACAGTAGCACCAGCTCTGTAGTCCACATACTTCAGTAGCACCAGCTCTGTAGACCACATATTACAGTAGCACCAGCTCTGTTAGACCACATACTATACAGTAGTAGCACCAGCTCTGTAGACCACACACTACAGTAGCTCCGTTATTTGTTAAAAAATAAGTATATATATATATATATATATATATATATATATATATATATATATATATATATATATATATATATATATATATATATATATATATATATATATATATATATATATATGCAAGCAAACCACTGTGGGTGCGCGTGATCCAGGTACATGCTGATAACCACAAGGAAAGAAGAAAAGACGAAGTTCCCAAGTGCTTTCGTGTAATTCACATCTTCAGGGGTGAGTACAGACTGAGGGTAAGCTGACCCAACCTTCTCACCTGGTTACAAATCTTGTTAATTACGAAATTATCCAGTTTGTACATACCATTACTCAAATTCATGTTGACGGATTCGGTATGTTTAATGAGACTAGTTCCTACTGTCAATTGATTTACAAGGTAATATTGAGGAGGCATTATCCCAGTCATTGCAATGCTTATTATCCCTCAAATGAACAGAGCATCGGATTCCTGTTTGTTCATATATATATATATATATATATATATATATATATATATATATATATATATATATATATATATATATATATATATATATATATATATATATATATATATGCTGATAACCACAAGAAAACACTTAGTTCCCAAGCGCTTTCGTGTAATTCACATCTTCAGGGGTGAGTACAGACTAAGGAGAAATACATAACAAGGCATATATATACAGTAGAGGGGGGTGAGATCAAGTCCCTAGGGGACAGTGAGTGTCCACAATGGTCTGGTCACTAGGTAGTGACCCTACTAATCTTCATAAGCACCACAGCAGTCTGCACTAGCAGAAACGTGTGGTGGATAGACCACGTTGGTCATCGTAGTTTCTAGACTAAATAAGTCTTTACTTTTATGTTCATTATTTTGTCACTCGGTTGAGTCATTTAATTGATCAGATTTAATTTGTATTTGTTTATTTTTGTACATACTGCATGTATTTCACTATACCCCATAGTAATGAGGTGATGATTTTGGTGGGATCTATTCCTTGGACCTGTTATACAAAGAGAAGTTGAATTTGTGATTTTGTTAAACCCTAAGAGGCCAAGGGTCGTAACAAAAACAAAGACGAAAGCTAAGGTGCTCCGTTATTTCCCTTTTCCCGTGTGATTTTATCAAGATATATATATATATATATAAAACAGGAAATATCTACTTTTCAGGAAAGTAGATACATAATTTTTCGAAAATTAGATTGTCATAGAAAACGGAAATTTATCATGGAAAATGGGAAATAACTACTTTCCGGGAAAGTTGGTTATCTACTTTCCCGATAAGTAGATTTTCTACTTTTCGGAAAGTAGATTATCGACTTTTAGAGGAAGTAGATTATCGAATTTTGGGGAAATATTACCTAATTTTGCGAAGTAGATTATCATAGAAAACGGGAAATTTATATCATAAAAAATGGGACAAATCTACTTTCCGGGAAAATAGATTTTCTACTTTTCGGAAAGTAGATTATCGACTTTTCGGGGAAGTAGATTATCGACTTTTTAGGAAATATTACCTAATTTTTCGAAGTAGATTATCATAGAAAACGGGAAATTTGTATCACAGAAAATGGGAAATATCTATATTCTGGGAAAGTTGGTTGTCTACTTTTCATAGAAAACGAGAAATTTTTATCATAGAAAATGGGAAATATCTACTTTCCGTTAAAGTTGGTTATCTACTTTCCCAAAAAGTAGATTATCGACTTTTCGGGGAAGTAGATTATCGACTTTTGGGGAAATATTTCCTAATTTTCCGAAGTAGATTATCATACAAAACGGGAAATGTGTATCACAGAAAATGGGAAATATCTACTTGCTGGGAAAGTTGGTTATCTACTTATCATAGAAAACGGGAAATTTGTATCATAGAAAATGGGATATCTACTTTCCCGAAAAGTAGATTATCTACTTTTCGGGAAAGTAGATTATTGACTTTTAGGGGAAGTAGATTATCGACTTTTTGGGAAATGTTACCTAATTTTACGAAGTAGATTATCATTGAGACCCGAGTTCGAGTCCCAGCATTTCTCTCTTCTTTTCCTTTTTTCTGTTTTTAGTTTTTTCGTTATGGGACACTATTTTCGCTGTATTATATTCTAAAAGTTAATCAAAAGTGAAATTGGGCCATAAATTTGACGTTTTTAGGTATTTTAGCGTATATTCATGTTCAAAGCTTCGAATGTTTCAATGAATCATCAAAATGATTCAATGAAGCTTCGTGACGTCACTCTCAACCTTCATATATAAAGTCTCGACCAACCCATTTTCGGCCCATTCTTCACCGACCGCTCCCCACTCACTGGCTGCAGCTGACAAGCAGGTAAGCTACGCACCTCGTCTCCATTATATACGTGTAAATTTTTTCCCTGACTATCTACAGTCAAAATGGCCAAAAGAAATGGTTATTATTTTGGGCAGTGTTCAATATACTTAATTATGGCGTAATAAATGCTGATTTCAGTAAAAAAAAAAACTTGCCAGCCGGTTGTTGCAGTTCACTTGCCTCCTAGGGTCGTATCCCCAAGTTTCACTGGGCTGTAAGGCCTAGGGTACTTACTTTGCAGCTTAACAAATACATTAATATGGTTTAGTATTATATTAAGTGTTTCTCTAACGTCTAACCAGTAATTTTTTGATGTTTTAGGCAAATATACCGCCAAATGAGCCATGACAAACGAGCCTAAACTACAAGCCGGTGGCGGGTAACGAGCGTAAACCGTACATCAGTATTTACGTAATAATTAACCCACTTTTGGCGGAACCGGGTGGTCATAACTCCATAATTACGCATTTCCCCAAACGGTCATCTCCACCACTGTATTCAGCATTGAAAATTTGCGCTGCAATGACTAGGTTCAACATAAGTATAACGAATTTTTTGCGGAATTAATATATATTTTGTACTGGCTAGTTCTTTGTTTACTCTATAGCTACGATTTCTGGGAGTTGAAACAGAATTTGTTACGGGTTTTGGCGGGGCAGGGAGCCGGGCGAGGCGAGGTGAGGTTGAGAGCCGGGCGGGGTGAGGTGAGGCGAGGTAGAGAGCCGGGCGGGGTGAGGCGAGATAGAGCCGGGCGGGGTGAGGAGGCGAGGTAGAGAGCCCGGCGGAGGTGAGGGTGGGGGCGGGCAGGTGGGTGGGGTGAAGGAGGGTAGAGCGGGCGGGGTGGAGGGGGAGGTAGAGAGCCGGGCGGGGTGAGGTGGAGGTGGGTAGAGAGCCGGGCAGGGGTGGGAGTGGGGTAGAGGCGGGGTGAGGCAGGTAGGAGAGCCGGGCGGGGAGGGGAGGTGAGAGCCGGGGTGGGGGTGAGGTGAGGCGGGGTGAGGGGTGAGAGCTGGGCGGAGGTGGGTGGGAGGTGGGAGAGGGGTGAGGTGGGTGAGGAGAGCCGGGCGGAGGCGGGAGGGGCAGGTAGGTGGGTAGAGAGGGGAGGGGCGGGGTGAGGAGGGGAGAGCCGGGCGGGGTGAGGTGAGGTGAGGTAGAGAGCCGGGCGGGGTGAGGTGAGGTGAGGGAGAGCCGGGCAGGGGAGGTGAGGTAGAGAGCCGGGCGGGCGGGGCGGGGTGAGGTGAGGTAGGGGCGGGTGAGGTGGGGAGGCCGGGCTGGGTGGGGTGGAGGTGAGAGAGCCAGGGGAGGTGGGAGGTAGAGATGGGAGGGGGAGGTGAGAGTGGCCGGGCGGGGCGAGGTAGGTGGAGGTGAGGGAGCCGGGCCGGGCAGGGCGAGGTAGGGTGAGGTGAGAGCCGGGCGGGGCTGGGCAGGGGCAGGAGGGTGTGAGGTGAGTAGAGAGCCGGGCGGGGCAGGAGGTGGGGTGAGGTGGTGGGGAGGTAGAGAGCCGGGCGGGATGAGGTGAGGTGAGGTGAGGAGGTAGAGAGCCGGGCGGGGTGAGGTGAGGTAGAGAGCCGGGCGGGGTAAGGAAAGGTAGAGGCCGAGACGTTTCAGAATACAGCATATATTAACTTCAGTAACATTAAGGATTCCTGGTAATTTTTTTGAAAGTGGACAACCCTGGATTTTACCAACGGAAAAACACATTGCTCAACAACCAAAAAGCACCCAAACTAACCTAACAGCGTAACGTAACCTAGAGGTCTACTTGTAAAAAAAAAAGCCGGGTTCCTAAAATATATGTTAAGATGTACAGTATATAAAGACACCGTTAAAATGCATTGGTAAATAAGGCAGCGACCATCTAATTAACCTATGGAAAATGTAAAAATGTTTGGCTCGCCTGAAGATTCATTCCCAGCTTATTTCAGCTGAAGATCAATTTAACCTTAGCCAAACTACGTATTACAATGTGCTGGTGAATCTTTTTCTCTTCAGATCAAGGAATGACTACAGATCCAACTACAGTACAAAAACCTCTGTTACTGGTGTGGTGCAGTACGAGGTCATAAGTTAAGTGTGGTGCAGTATGAGGTCAAGTGAAGTGTGATGCAGTATTTAGGGACAACAGACCACGAGTGAGAAGTGAAGCTTCTACACAGTATTATTCTTAAAGGTCAATTAAACGTTTTGTGTGAAGGTGTGGGTGGGTGTAGCCTGCTATGATGTCCTTTCATGTTTTGTGAAGGAGTGTTGGTGGTCATTTAACTCTTTGTGTGGGGTTGTGGGTGTGTGTGTGAATTGTTGTGGTGTCATTTAACGTTTTGTGAGAGGGTGTGGCGTGTTGGATACTGGTTGGGGGTGGGGTGACTGGTGTATGGGATAGGGTTGTGTTCCCATATGAAGGAATTGTACACGAGGTGGGCAGGTGGTTGTGGTGAAATTTGTCATTCAAATCAAGTGTAACCAAGCTGTCGAGGGGGACACTTAAGGGAGGGAAGGTCTAGTAAGAGAGCTGTAGTAAACCTTGTGTATCGTCCATGAAGCAGTGTAGAGGTGTTGTACAGTTGTGTAACAGTACTGTATTGGTGTTGGTGAGAAGTAATTTGAGTAAACTAATGTGGAGGTAATGATTTATGTAAAAAAGTTGCGGACAGGTTAAGTACATGTGGTCTAGTGGTAGATGGAAGTTGCTAGTTTAATTTTCATTCTACATAAATTACAACTTTAAACATGTTGCAGGTGTCAGCTGATGTACGTGAAGGCCAATGTTGAAGTGACAGAACCTTGAGCAAGATTTAACAAGCAGCATGTTACTTCAGCCTCATCAGTTAAGTTACTTGTATATCTTAGCTAGTATGGTCATCCCATAAACCACTCGACACTACTACTACACTGGGCAGTGGAGGGGGTGTGCGTGGGAGGAGAGGGGGGGGGGGGCTGGCTGGCTGATTGTTTGATGGAGGGCTCTGGAGGACTGTGTGTGTGTTGGAGGACTGTGTGGACTGACTTTAGACTGATCTTATAGTAAAATTAATATTAGTTGTAGTAACATTACGTATAAATATACAGGATTGCATGCCTATTGGTTATTAGAAAATTAGTAGTAGTCTAGTTGTGAATGTAACCAGTAAAGCAAGTTGTTGTGGTTGGGTTTCGACTAACTTTACTAACCTAACTTAACCAGCCTAACTTTGATTAAATGCAACTAACCTAGACTGAACCAAATCAGTATTAAGTTATCTATTATACAGTAAATATATTAAAAAACTTATTGAAGAACAAAATTTCAATTTATTTCACCCGCCATTCGTGTTACTGATCACGAATACAGAAAGTTAATTTTGAGGCGTGTAAACTATAAGTGATAATTTGTGGACAGTTTAAGTATATGTGGTCAAGTGGTAGATGGATATTGTAGGTTTAACATTTATTCTTCATAAATAGCAACTTTAAACATGTTGCAGGTGACAGCTGATGTACTTGAAGGCCAGTGGAGAAGTGACAGAACCTAGAGCAAGATTTAACATCCAGCATGTTACTTCAGCCTCATCAGTTAAGTTACTTGTATATCTTGGCTAGTACGGTCATCCCATAATCCACTCAACACTAGACTCCTACACTGAGCAGTGGGGGGGGGGGGCCTAGCTGACTGTGTTGGAGGGCTGTGTGGACTGAAGGTAGTCTGATATTAGAGTAAATTAATATTCGTTGTAGTGAAAGTATAAATATACAGGACTATATGCCTATTGGTTATTAGAGAAAACTAGTAGTAGTAAATATAGCAAGTAAAGCAAGTTGTTGTGGTTGGGTTTCAATTAACTTTACTAACCTAACCATCGTAACTTCGATTAAACTAACCTGGACTGAACCAAATCAGTATTAAGCTATCTATTGTATAAAAACCTTTTTTTTGTCCAAAACATTTAAAGAACCTTAATTCAAACTATTTTATGAGCCACTTACGTTTACTGATCATGAATACAGAAAGTTAATTTTCAAGTTAAATAAAATTGACTTTTGTAAATTATTAAAATTTGATAACTTGTGTATAGTTGGAGTCTGTTTAAATACAGCTGGTAGAAGGGTATCGCCTTTTTCACCTTCATTCTACATTAATAACTCGAAATATATTGTACGTGACAGATGATGTACTGGAAGGCCAACGTAGATGAAGTGACAGAAGCAACCTTGAGCAAGAGGTAACACATGTTAATTCAGCCTCCCCAGTTAAGTTACATATGTCTTCGTATGGCTATCCCAAAAACCACGATGTAAGAATGAAAATGAGTGACTTGCTTTGTGAGAAGGGTTGGGGCACTCGTACGTTGGGCAGTGGAGGGGCGCTCGTGCACCGGCGGTGGTGGTGTGCTCATACAACGGTTGAAAGTGAATGTCATAAATTTGAGTAAAATGGCATGTACTGCGAAGGAATGTTGTGGATGATGCCTGTGAGAAGACTGCTGCAGCCATAAGAGCAGGAATGTTGGTGCTCAGGTGTAAGGTGTTATAGGAGGGTGCTCAAGTGTATGGATAAATGTAAAGATGCAAGTATAGAATGCAAGAAATTTGGTGTAAATGTTGTGTATTAGTGATACATTAATGTTAATTAAGACTAATCTACATACAAATCTCATTGCAGGTGGTTGGTGTAAAAGATCGATGTACCAGATGTGAAGGCAAGATGGCCTCGGCTACTGTTCTCTACTGTACTGTTAACCATCCCACAGCCCACACCTTCATGACCACCATCTTATTAAGCACAGATTTATGTATACAATTAAGAAATGAGAAAATATTAAAGTACAGTAAAATATTTAAGAACGTATAAGTAAGCCTCGAGTCAAGCCACACAGATTAAAATAGGGTAGATATATTGTGTAATGGTTGGAACTTGTAGAGAAAGGGAATATAATATTGGCTCATTATACAATACATGTTCATAATCAAATAAACCTGAATAAATTTGACATCTTTTATACTCCGATTTTGGAAAAGTAGAATAATAATCTTGTAAAATGGTGGGGTGTAAATTATATGGATCCCTGCGATGCCAACATGATAGCCTATATATTTTTATCACCAATTGACATCCAAGTGCCAGCCTATGTAGAACCGTTAAAAACTAATTCCCTATTGGTTATGCAAAATCAAAACGAAAAAGATGACCTCAGGACTGTACCTACAGATGGCATTGTATTTCATTTCAGTGTAGTTATTACAAAATGTACATAAGAAATGCATCTTTATGGTCGTGTTAGACAATGACACCTCGGACAACAGCTGCGGACAACAGGTGTCGATGTTAATTTTGAAATTCATCAGCCATAGTCCGTAAAGATACGTTTTTTATTCTGTATACATACTATTATTTTGAAAGTAATGTATACATACTAGTACATGAAAGTAAAGTACAGTAAGGATTGTACTTACGGAATGTTGACAATCTGGACACTGCACACCAATTGTTGATTGGAAGTCCGTTTTGCCTAAAATTTAGAAAATAAATCCTTGTAAAATTATAATTAAAATTATAAATGTACTGTACTATTATGTACAACACAATGTAAATTAACTTCGTTGTACAAAAAGCTATAAACTTTGAAATCCAATGGTCATGTTTAAAGTTGTAGTGTTTTGAAATTAAATAATTTTAGGTCAAATATAAAATACAGGATGTTTGGTTGTGTGTGTGTGTGCATATCTTGAGAAACTGTCCTGGGGCCCAAACTCCAGCCTGGGATAGATGTGAGAAGGGTGTTGAGCGGTGTAACTTTTTTGGAGTGAGAATTGTGAACTCTTGGAACAATCTGCTAGTTGTAAAAGTAAAGTAAAGAGCAGGTTGGTTGTTGCACTGAAACAGCAGATGACAACATGCACCGAAAAAGCCGATTTTTCTGTGGGATATTTACAGCAATTAATTAATTTCTTCATGCACAAAGCATGTACAGACATTTTAAGTGTTAAATGATCAGTTATAATTGTTTTACCTTGCAATTTCCCTCCCCCTTCATACCCTGCGCACTACAGGTGGATTAGTATTGAAGAGAAAAAATATAAACAATATACTTATAATAATGAAAAAGGGTGCTACTATAGCATGCAGGTTACAAGAGGTTTAAGCTACACTAGGTTTGGTAGGATTAGAATAGTTAGGTTAAATTGGGTTGGGATAGGTCAGGTCAGGTCGGATTAGGTTTGGTTGGGTTAAATTAGGCCAGGTCAGGTTGGGTAAGATTAGACTAGAGATATCTTTGTAGACGGCACACACTAGTAACTCCATAAACAGTTCTTATATGGTTTTATTAATTGCTATCATCCAAAGATCTATGGAAAAAAACGATCATAACTAAACCACTACTCCTGATGTTACCTACCTGCTGCAGTATTACCGGAAAAAAAAATTGTACAGGTTTGAAAGTTAGGTCAGGTTCTAATAGGTCTCTGTGCATTCTCACTTCCATTTTCGTGTTCGGTATCATAAATATTTCCAGAAATTTTGGTTCAATTCCATAAATTATTTCTGGTATAAACCTTCACTCAGCTCACTAATGGTGGTAAAAATTCGTTGCATCCCAATTGTATAAGATAATTTTCTGGTGTATTTTGGTGAGGTTATGGTAGTAGGTACAGTAACTAAATCAACTATCTGCATACTTTGTGGGAAACAATATGAAACCATGGACGATAAGTTTTGGTATACGAGGGCTGTCGCTAGTCGCACGTAAAATTTCGGAGCTTATCGACCCCCACCCAGTTCAGACCACCACCACAGGTAAACAAATCATGGTGACACTTGTGACCGAGCGAAAGTAATAATCTTGAAAAATTAATATCTCGGTTATCCTTAATATAAAGTGTCTTAGAATTGTGTAAACATTCTGAAATACATTTTTAATACGGAAATAAAGACCGGTGTGATACTATAAATTCACCCAAACTTAATATATGGTGATTAAATTTATAGTTTTATAAGTCACGACAAAACTTTCCTCCACGGCTCACTCAGGCAAATGGCTCGCTAGAGACGTCACTGATGTGTTATACCAAGGAAAGAATATATAGAGAAACCTGTACTTCATTCAATTAACGTTCAGCCCCGACTGCTGCGCCATCTCTTGATTTAATTTTACAACAAATATTTAGTCTTCATAGAAAACGTTGTCTAGATGGAGCTTGTCTTTAGCGTAAACTCCTGTCATAAGCCATATACATTTTTATTCATAGCAGCCATTGCATAAATATACATGATTGTCTGCTTATACATTTATATATTTATTCATTCACAAACAATGAAGTTCCTTAAATAAGAGGAGTCAATATCATGTTGTACAGTACATGAAATAAATAAGGAACTTAGGTGGTAGCCCTGCTGCTGTATGGCATCACGAAAGTTGTGACCAAGTCCCAGGTTGCTGATCTGTCGTTCGTCATTTACACACAATTGTAGGTCTCAATTATTTCTTTTACTTGACAACACAACATACATATAGCGTTTCTCACTTATTTTTTTTTTATTTCATTTTTAATTTCTTTATAGTTCTTTATTATTATTGTTAGTATTATTATTATTTCATTTGTATTATATATTTTATTAACTATGAATAATTATTATATTTTCGCCCCAAGCACCGATGTGGGTCAGCGACCTGTGCCCGGGTGGGCTAATCCCCGAAAAAAAAAGTAAAATAAATAAATACATACATACATACATACATAATAGTTTATAAAACATCAAAATCAAGAGGGCAGGTAGACCTAATCTCCATGATATCCACAAAAAGTAGAAAGCAGCAATAATAAAGCTAAGTTTCAGTCTTCAAAATATATATAATTCAGGGTGGATAAAGCCGAAATACATTACTGTACATGTTTGAATGTTTTGATAAGAATCACACACACACTATAATTTCTTTAAATTTAAGACGCTATACAGCTTGCTAACACTTCCTACTACGATCGGGGAGATAAACGTTAAACTTTGTGACGTAGCACCTCTTCCTTCGACTATAATGCTCATTTTACATACGAATTATCACTTGCTCCAGATCCTTGAATAACCCAAGCCACTAGTCCTCATCATCACAAACGAGGATGGTATGGTGGAAAACTGGAACACCTTGCCCCAGTTGTCACCATATACTGAAGTGTTGTCATTCAGATTAAACTGTTACCTAGTTCAAGATAAGGACAGACCATGGTGCAACTATTACAAGGGAAATTACAACGGGATGAGGGAAGAGATGAGGGGTATCCACTGGCCTGACTCATTTAGGCACAAGAACGCAGACACTACGCTGAATATCATAACTAGTAAAGTGACCCATTTCATTGATAAATATATACCTAAGACCAAACCCAGTGCCTCTACGAATACGAGGGGATCCTCTCACATGAACCATGAGGCGGTCGACAAAGTTAAGAAGAAAATTCAAGACGTGGGTTGGGTCAAACGATCAGCAGGACAGGAGGATGTATGCAAGAGCCAGAAACCAAGCAAAGGTAGAGTGTAGAAGGGCTGAAAAAGAGTTCTAGAGGCTGGTTGCAAGGGAGGTCAAGTCAAACCCAAAGGCGTTTTACCGCTATGCAAAGTCGAAATTAAAAACGCGAGTAGGAGTATCAGACCTGAGGCTTGAAGATGGTAGTTACACAGATTCTGATCAGGATAAAGCCGAGGCATTGAACAGCTTCTTTACCTCGGTGTTCACAAGAAAGGATGCGATTAACCTTCCTGCGTTTGAGGACAGACAGTTCGACACAGTATTGACCCACATTGTGTTCACAGAAGAGGATATTAGAAACAAACTGCCAAAGCTAAAGGTCCATAAGAGTCCCGGCCCTGACATGGTGCACCCCAGAGTGCTAAGAGAGTCGTGCAACGAGCTTGCCGAGCCCCTGAAGATCCTGTTTTGTAAATGCCTGGATGATTGCTTAACACAATTGCTCAAGGCATTGGATATTTGGACCCATATTCTGGAACGGGGTGGTAATATCGACAATATATACCTAGATTTTGCCAAGGCTTTCGTCAGTGTACCCCACGAAAGGCTGAAAATCAAACTGGAAGGGTACGGAATTCGGGGAAATGTCCGAGCGTGGATAGAAGACTTTCTACATGACCGCAAGCAGTGTGTGGTGATTAATGACACGAAATCATCATCTTTACCTGTCACAAGCGGGTACCACAGGGCAGTGTATTGGACCCGCTGTTGTTAGTTTGTTTCATAAATGACATGCCTGTCGTTGTACACTCCTCCATACAAATGTTTGTCGATGACGCCAAGTTATTTCGGGAAATCAAGAACCATGCGGACTGGGAAGAGCTACAGAAGGATCTCTGTGAGCTCCAAGAATGGTCGAAGAAATGGCTGCTGAGATTAAATGTCAAGGAGTGTAAGAGGATGCACCTGGGGTGTACCAACGGTAAGGAGGCGTATCATATGTCCCAACGGGATGAAAAACTGCACTATTTGAGACTGAATGTGAGAAGGACCTACATGTAGGTGTGTATGTTGACAATGAGCTGAAGTTCTCGGGCCATTGCGAGAAAAAGGTAAATCAGGCAAATAAAATATTGGGTCTTATAAGAAGGTCGTTCGGATACCTAGACAGTCCGTCCTTCGTAACGATCTTCAATAGTGAAGTGCTTCCCCATCTGGAGTAAAGTCACCCAGTCTGGTCCCCGAGATATGCTAGGGACTGTCAGTTGGTTGAAAATGTTCAAAGGAGGGCCACCAGACTGGTGCCTGCACTTCGGCACCTCAACTACCCTGAGAGATTGGAGCGCCTGAACTTGCCTAGCTTATACTACAGACGGGCAAGGGGCGACCTAATTGAGGTGCATAAGCATCTCAAGGGGCACTACTCAGTCCAGTGTTCTTACTTGGAGCTGGCGGACGCTCGCCCCATAAGGGGTCACAGCTCAAGATCTAAGAAGCCGCAGGTCCAGAAAACTGCGAGGGCAAACTTTTTCGGAGTGAGAGTTGTGAACTCTTGGAACAATCTACCAGAAAGTGTTGTGAAGGCACCGAGTGTGAACTCTTTCAAGACCAGACTTGACCAACACTGGAGCAGGTTCAGGTACATTCAGGAGCCGGTGCATGCCCAGTACTTGCCATCAGTGCGTAATAGAGACGTGACCGATCCCCCAAGCGGCTAACGAGCCGATCAGTGGTGAAGAGGATAAAAGTAAAAGTAAAAGTTTACAGCAATGGAATAGTTCATTTTGACATGAAAACTGTACTACGTTAAGAGAACAGATAATGTAATGCTCTTAACCTTGGAGCAAAATTGTTATACATTGCAAGATTTATTTTAATCTTTCCATTATTAATCATCCAACAAACTTGTTTCTTTTAAGTAGTGATATCACTGTTGTATGGTTGATTTTTTCACATCCTAATAAATAATGTGGTAGTGTACGTGTATCCCTAAGATGACACAGTTAACAAGGTTGACCCGCCCCTCGTTCAAATTAATCACAGTAAAATATTTTCCATGTACCGAATAAACACGTCACAGAGATTCAGATGGCCCGCCAGTAGAGTGACCAATCCCTGCAGACCACGACCAAAGGTGTTTCTGTGGACTGATGAGCTGTACTAACACACTAAGACAAAACCAAAGCGGTATATAGAATCAGAAGCTCCAAAAGGCCATTTGGTATTCCATTAACAGCAGCAGTGTTGTTTATTCGGATTCTCTTAAATATCTATTAGTTAACAGTTTGTTGTTATCATCCGCCTATACTGTGGTGGTCGCCTGAGAGACATAGTACGGGGATATAAAATGACAATATTTGGTTCTCATTACAGAACCGCTTACTCATTATGGATATTCTTCGTTTCACTGGACGTAAATATTTGGGGTAAGTAGTCCAAATTGTCCGTTAGTAGTTGGAAATTGTTTTAATGGTACATGTGTCATAGCAGAAGTCGTACCAAGTGTTTCATACAGGTTCGTAATGTTACCAGAATCGACTGTTATCTTGACACCCTGGAGTATGATACATTGCCTCCATTTTAAAAGAAGTTATATGGTGTTTGTGTATGTGGAACAGCCAGTACCTGTGGATTTGGTGATACACAGTATTTTAAGTACTGTACTGTATTTTAGACTTTGAATATGGGTACAATATTTTGCCTTGAACCAGGTCTTTTAAATACTTGACATATTTGCTATTAGAAACGAATCCAGAAAAAAGTCACAGATAAAACCTAACCTAACCTAACATACTGTACATGTAATGCCATCATGTATAAAGTGTGTACAAGTCACACATTGTTAGTTATAAGTGACTCGAAATATTTTGGGTAAATTTGCATTGTCACACCGTTCACTTTTAGCAAGTAAAAAATATATTTTTCTAGTGTATTTGTGTGTTTAGACCTAATATGATCTTCATTTTTGGCGGAAATTAGCCGGGTTTTGTAGCGATGTTTTTTCGTTTGACGTTTTCCGAAAAAAAAGTGGCTAGGCGACTAAAAAAAAAAAAAAAAAAATTGAAAAACAAAAACCTAACCTAACCCAACTTAACTGACTCGCCATATGATGGAATCACCTAGTTCTTGTTCGTCGTTGCATTCTGGAATTCTTACACAACGCCACATATGTTGGTCTTTGCGATATTTACATTCAGTCTTGCTCTTGGTACACTTTACTGAGGTTGGAAGAACACCATGCGATCGAAAAAATGCTATAGTTTCTACGTTTTTTTCCCAAAAACTCGCAATCAGCTCCATATACTTTAAGTGACATCCATCGCAGACTTCCATGATCGGAACTGAACTTGAATTTCAAAATATGAGACCCAAAATAAAACTCGATTTTGATTTGGCCAAATATACTCTGAATTAAACCCAAAATCATTTTAATAGGTTCCAAAAGCAAAAACGCCTTTGATTGGCCACGTGACCTGCACGGGTATGCATGCGCGTGAAGATTTATGAAGGAGACGCGAGAGACACGCAGTGTTGGGTGAGAGGCAGACGATAATGGCGGGAGGTTAATGGAAGAAAATAGAATTTTTTGGGAAAAAGCTATCTCTGTTGTTATACATTTCCGCCGGTAATGTAATAAATGAAAATTACCTTATAATTAAACGTCTTATTCGAATATGATAATAGATTAGTGGTAGGAATGAACGGTGTGTAAACGCAATAATACCATATTTTGTTTTATTACTTAAACTGGATGTACCCATGAATGTCTGGGGGTAGTTTTAAATTTGCTGCCATTTTCGTGGCTGGGATAGGGAGCCATTCGTTCTAGAGACAGTAATTTCTTTTACCTGTATTGTAAATATGTGTGTGTGTGTAATAATAATAATAATAATAAACGGTTTATTAATAGAGTTGCAGCCGGTGGCTGAAAACATACAGACTTACATTTGATTTAGACATAATGATATAATACGCAGTGAATACATTTACAGGGCTGTACAGTACATAAATCAGGAGTTGTTTATTATTTTAACAATAGATGGGATGGTGCTGTTCTTATAGCTATCGGTGCGGGCTCTTATGGGCTGAATTTTGTTGTAGTGGCGGACTGCGCGAGTTGGGTGGGGAGCTGCAGGAGGTGGCGATGACGAGGGTGGTGCAGTAGTCCCCTGCCAAACCTTTCCAGTGCTTGGTGGTGGAGGTCACTGAGGGATGGCATTTCCAAGGTGGAGAGAGCGTTGGTGTAGCCGGAGTGTGTGTGTGTGTGTGTATCGACACACACACACAAAACACATACAAATAAATAATAACGAAAATCCTCTCAAATAATCAAACAAATTTATGAAAAATGTGAGTCTACCCTCAAGTCCGTGCTTCATTACTTTATTAATAAAGCACGAACTTGAGGGTAGACTCACAATTTTAATAAATTTGTTTCTGATTACGTGAGAGTATTTCCCATTATTATTTATTTGTATGTGTTTTGTGTGTGTGTGTGTGTGTGTGTTTACACACACACACTTACAGGTATATACCGTACAATATTGTACAGGTAAAATAAATAATTGTCCTAAGGGCAAACACATAAAGGGAATATACATTTCATTGTACATAAGTTAAAATGTAAATGCCCTCCGGTGCTCAAATGTTATTCGTGGATTTGGCTATTCGCGGCCATTTTGAGAACCTACCCCTGCAAAATTTGGGGGGAGGGGAGGGGGCTTACATTTATCGTCTGTTTTAATTGTCCATAAAAATTCAAAGGAGCTTTTGAAAAGTCTGGCATATGTCCAATCACAGAAACAAACATGGCAGACTTACCTCAGTGTCTCTTCCATAGATTAAAGGAAAATAACAAAAGTGATAGTACAGTACTGTACATGTATTGTATTCCTTGTGCACTATTTGCCACTTTCACTGTAATAAAACTTATACAGTACTTCTATATTGAAAGGTCCTAAAGTTAAAAGTTCAGGAGTGCAGGAGGTACTGTACTGGTACCTCATATAGCTACAGCCCTCCTCCATTGCGTATTCCTACAGCGTGAATTCACTTGTACACACAAAATAAATTTGACCAATGTATTTGCCAAACACGGAAAATTCTAACTTATGCAGTTCATTAACAGGCGGGCTCTCATATCTGCATTCTGTCTCTCTCATCCTCAGTCTTGCCTAAGTTGTAGCTGCACTAAGAGCTGTGCTGTCCATGTTGATACAGTCCTGTACAGTACTTTTTGCTCATACTGTATACTGTTTTTTTGGGGGAAACAAACCCTTCAACATTATGGCTTCTAAACATACAGTATCTCCAAGTGAGAGTGGAGTAAAGAAAGGTCTCAAAATGATGACATTAGAAGAGAAAATTTAAATTCTCGATAAGTTACAAAGTGGCATAGGTCCAGCAGCGGTATGCCATGAACGAATCCACCATCTGCATGATGAGGAAAAGATTCATTCAAGTGTGAAGGCTTCTGCATCTGTGAGTGCTATTTACAGTACACTACTGTTTTTCCATTTTTATTTTATATTGTGTGAATGTCTTTATGCTTGATTTTATAAAAAATTTAGGTCATAGGCAATAGAGTACAGTCGGCCCTTAACATACGCAGGGGTTACGTAACAGAGATACCCGTGGATGTTAAAAATCTGCGTATATGTGCTGCCCCCCCAAAAAACCCTGCCCCCCAAAAACCCCTGCCCCCCCAAAAACCCTGCCCCCCCCATGTCCTTATTTACCTTATATACCTGTGTGTAGTTCGAGTTTTTAAGACCAAATTATTTGGCAAAAAATTGAGGGTCGACCTCTAAACGGGTAATAGTTTCGTTAGGTTGAAAAATATTTACCAGTAACTACCAGTAAACAATGAAAACGACGCACCAACGCACCACCAGCGGTGAGTGTCGGTACAGTTGCCAGGGCGGATCTCTTGCGTCATCATAGCAAGCCCAAAGTAGCCAAATGCATGGTATGGTATGCACAGGATGATGTAAAACATAAAGTACAGTTGGCCCTTAACATACGCGGGTTTAGCATACACGGATGGATTTGCAAATACGCGGATTGCCCCGCTGGAGGAATATTCTGTACATTGAAGTAATTGAAGTACATTCAAAAAGCGCGCTATTCAACTCGCGCGCGGCACCGAACACAGGACACCGCCCGCTCCCGCAACCTCACAGACACACGCATAGCTCTCCCTCACTCAATCAGTCTCGCTGTAACCACGCTTGTGTTGACATCAGCATTGTAGTTGCAAAAATATTACATTTCCGTGAATGTATTATATCAAACACAGTATGAATAGAATATCACTAATATAACAGGATTTTAACCGAAAACTACTAAAAAAACGAGTAACATATCTTGAACATCGGAAGGTTAGGTAAAGTCTTTTGTTTTCATGTAGTTTATCCTAATTTACATTGGAATGCATTACGTTTCAGCAAAACTACCATTTATTTCTGAGAATATGGAAATGTAATATTTTGCTGAAATGACGTACGTATTACAGTGGAAAGTAACGAAAGCAATGACTCGCTTTCTTTCGTTCTAAAGATGTTACCGTAATCGCTTTTCGAATGGTTTTCAGTTAAAAAACTGTTGTATTACAATATTATTCTATCCTAATTCACTTGTGATGCAACAGTTTTTTAACTGAAAACCATTCGAAAAGCGATTACGGTAACATCTTTTGAACGAAAGAAAGCGAAAGTCATTGTTTTCGTCACGATTTTATCCCACTTTCCACTGTAATACATACGTCATTTCAGCAAAAATATTACATTTCCGTGAATGTAGTACTGTATATCAAGCACAGTATGAATATAATATCATTGTAATATAACAGTATTTTAACCGAAAACTATTAAAAAAATGAGTAACATCTCTTGAACATTGGAAGATTAGGTAAAGTTTTTTGTTTTCGTCATGTATTTTATCCTATTTTACATTGAAATACATCACGTTTCAGCAAAACTACTATTTATTTCTGAGAATATATTCATTCAGGCACAGTTTAGGTAAAATATACATGTGCTGTAACATTTTTTAATTGAAAACGATTCGAAAAACACGTACCCTCTAGCCCTGTTCAAGGAGAAGACTGGGAGGAGCTGTTTGGTGCTTAAGACGATGACAAGGAAAATGATTTTGATGGATTTTAATGAAAATATTCAGAAAGACCCTGGCACTGTCAAGGAAAGTGGCTGCTGAAGGCTTCCAGGACATGGCAGAGGACGAGATTAGGGAGCTAATTGAAGAGCATGACACTGAGTTGACCGAGGAGGATCTACAGGAGTTAGTAGACTCAGGCAAGGAAGAGGAAGAGGAAGTGAAAGGGAGAGAGGATGAGGAAGAACACCAAGAAATAACGTTGGAGAAGTTGGGGGAGATGACCAGGAATATTGAGGCACTGAAAAACCTG